GTAGCAGAAGAGCATCCTTCAGCTCAGCAGACACATCCTCAATCCATATGCGTTGCACCAAGTGGTGCAGCGCAGTCACCAACGCTGGATCCCCTCGGCCCCGGCACACTTGCCGTTTCGTAGCTGAGCAAGTGCTCTCTGCGTCTCATCCAGTGTTGGCGTGTCCGCCAGGCTCGTCTTCACATCGTGCTGCCTGAGGCCGTTCAATGTAGACCAGTCGATCTCTGAAAGGTTGTTCAAGAGACAGTCGAAGTGATTTTGCCAGATCTGCATTATGTCTGCAGTCTCTGTGCAGGTAGCGCTTGAACTACCATCGAGCAGCGTCCTCAGCGGCTCCAATCTCGGTCCATACACTGTCCTCAAGGAGTCAAAGAATTCCTTGTGTTGTGGGCGTTCGGCGTAGCATTCTATGTGCTTCGCCTTCTCCGTCCACCATGCATTTTAATGCGACGGAACTTTTGGCTAAGTCGCCGTTGAATTATGCCAAACTTTCGCTTATTTTCCAAGTCACTGTGGTCTGCGATATGTGCAGCAAATGCTGCATCCCTCTCACACACCAATGTGCCAATCGTCGCATTGTTCTCAACCAAACCCATCAGATCGCATGCAGTTTACTCGCCCGATGCATCCTCGGCAGTAGATGTCACGTGGTCGCGAATGTGGTGCCACAGGTCGCCCATTGTGGCTACGCATTCCACATCACACAGGCGTGCAGCCATCGCCTTCTATAGCTCAATACGTTTCGCCACAGTACCGAGGGAGAGAATGTTAAATATACGCGGATTCATGACGGGAGTGCAAAACATCGATTTACTGAAAGATATGTACAGTTTGGTCCGCACTAATTTGTCATCAGTGTCACACTGAACACCACGCAGTACACGTGTCATTCGCACTTCACGCTGACGTACGATGACTTTGTCGAGCAGGTGACGTGACCACTCCGTGGGTGCGTTCAAGTTGTTATACCATTCGCACTCAGTGCAAACCGAGTGTTCGTGACCGTCAGGCCGTGTGTGGCACACAGTGAGAGCAGCCTGTCACCGTTCGCATTCGCTGAACCAATGACATGCGGACCGATAACATCTGTCCACACCGATGCATCACGCCCAATGCACGCGTTGAAATTACCCAGCAGCAATAGTCGGTTATTCCTCGGCACAGACCGTATCACGGAGGATAGCTGAGCGTAGAATTGATCACGCGTGTCATCAGGATAACACATGGTCGGACCGTTCATGCTTATAAAGGTGGTAAACATACCTCTTCCGAGTCGTAGGCGAGCAGTCATAAGTCGCGCGCTGATGCCCGTTGGTTCACCCACGAGCTGGCCATGGAGGCGATCGGATATTGCAAATCCGACCTTATGTTCATGTGGTGCTGAGGTGGCGTTGCCCACCAAGTAGAATGTGTAGCCAGCAGCTGCTTCATGTAACTTACCTTGATCAGCTAGCCGAGTTTCACTGGGTGCTGCAATATCGATGTGGTAAGGCGCCAGTTCCATCGCGATCAATGCAGTGCGTCGCTCGGGACGTTCACTGGAGTTCCGGTGCATTAGTGTGCGTGCGGTCCAGCACCCGATGCTGAGTGCTTTGCGCGCAGACATACGATTGCATTGGTGGGTAATCGCCCACGAGGTGGTCGTTGTACTTCGGAGGTTTGCTTGAGGGAGTCCACCCGTGGCTTAATAGCCTGACCCACAAGGCAGTGGGGAGCAGATCCAGCTCGGGAATGTGATTGCAGAGACAGATTGGGATCTGCTTGACGGCCGTCACACGCAACCTTTGAGGTACTGGAACGATTTATACACATTTTGCGACCGTAGTAGGATACACCTGCGACCACGGCCAGACGCAGGTGGGGCTTGGCGGGTTTGCGCCAATTTGACCAGGGGCTGCCTGGCCTGAGGCGGGCAGTAGCAAACCATTGAACACCCGGAGGTGCCCTCCCGCCGTCAGAGATAATGCGAGGCGCATGGACTCTACGTCAATTGAGCTGTGTGCTTATAACCCGTAGACCTCTTGTCTCCCATGACTAGGTTTTACGGGAAGTGGGCCATCGACCACTTCCTAACCTCATTAGAGGATGGACTAGGATACTGGCTGGGCGCCCACATCTGACAGGGGAACGACTCGGGTCCTCAGCCAAAGCCTTCGATTAAATGAACATTCGAAAGGCAGCGGGTCTAGTACGTGGTCAATTCACTGACTCATGCGGATTGGTGTCCTGGATCTTAGCAGGGAGAAGGGCGAAACCCAACTCCCACCCAGCGGTCGCCACGAGGAGGCGTCCAGGACATTATCCAATGGCGCAACACTAGCAGCAGTGAGTACATCATCTGTCCGGATGTAGCGACCACTAGTCTCCTCGCACCATACGCTCTGCCTCTGCTGAGATTACGTACATACGTATAATTTTATTCGCTCCGTTCTATTTTGTACTGCCGCACAGTTGCTGTCCAGTTTGTGTTTTTGTTTTTTTCATGTTATGCTTTTGTTGTTATCCATCCCCAGTGTGGCTGCGCCTGGTGTGTGTTGACAATGCGCCTACTTGTCTAACACCCTCCACCTTGATTACTGCCTCCAGGTGACTATGAATCTTTGCTGGGGCGATGTGTTGCACGGTCCTCGTGACCATGCTAGGCTCAAAGGGTAGTTTTATCTAGCTTGAAGCGGACTACGGCCGAGCCACCGCGTTGTGTTCGTCTGGTACGCATGATTCACAAATTAGTTAGACAGGAATGCTGCTGCTATGTATGTTAAAGGAGTGTGGGCCGCCTTCGTTGATGAAACATGGCTCCCATCCATATGTCCCCGGGTCTTCTTCCTTCAGATTTACACTGGATATGATTTGTGTGTGGATGGAGCTGTGGGTGGTGCAGCGCAAGCTACCCATGGTGTCTCTGTAAGCGCAGACGTCCTGTGCCAATTCCCATGGAGACCGCAGTGACAGACAAATCTGGAATCGGATGCCGCCGTCCACATATGTGTGATAGTAATCCCCAATGACAGAAACACTGCGTTCGTGCAAGCTATGCACATTGAACCGCTGAGCTTCTCCTCTGACCCCACTCCACTGTATGGTTTGTATAATCCCCTTGGTTTTGGTTTCACTCGATATCCCCACTCATTGCGCGCTGTTCGTTAGTGTAAAGTATTCACCTTTCGTTGGGCAGCTCCAACTTTTGGTCGCTCATGTGATGATACATTGTTACTAATTACGAGACCGTTCTGCCCATCGCCATCTTCCCTCAGCAATTATTCACCAGCAAAGTAACAGTGTGTGTTCATTCTTTGGAAATGTCGCTGTTGTATCCAAACACTTCCTGCTCATTATCTTGCATGTGGTCACAATGCTCATGTCTGTCGCGGCAGCCACTTGGCATATTGGCATTTTGCAACTCTGTGTTTTCTTTTGCGATTACTGTACCTTCCGACTAATCCTACATTGAATTTTCTGACTATCATGGTTGGCGGTCCCAATTGAAACGGCACCGATAAATCCGGTCCCACATGTTAGAATTGGATGCTTTATCAAAATACCCCTGAGTCCTTATTTGGTTTTCTCTGTAAATGTCACCTTTTCTTGTGGATCGCTTTCTGCGATGGATACCGCCTTTTAATATCGTGAACTCAGACCGATTCACTGTGCTAACGCACGGTTTGGGCAGCAGAACCAATGGCGACGGGAAGAATAAGGTGTACTGTTGAACCACACGATTTAAGGATAGCAATTTAGACAAAGTAATACAATGGATATTCGAATAAGTAGGACGGCTCCCGAGAACGGGATAGTGTGAAATCCACGTATCGTTCAAGCAACAGCCAACATGGACACGTGAATGTAACATAGTAAAACATAGTACTATAGCAAATGTGGAAAATTGCAAGTTTACATCAGTGGTTCTCAATCTGGGGGCAATTCCCCCCAAAGAAATAAACTGGAATTTTTCTGAAGTATAGATAACTAGGAGGATTGGGTCACTAATCTGTTGCCAAACCAAATTAAAAACAATATCATATGTATCAAGACACGTAACTAACCACCTAGTCACTATTGATTAGCCATCAATGTCTAATCATTAGTGAATGGTCAGTGAATTAGACAATTTTCGGTAATGAGTTTTAATACCTAAAATTTGAATACAAGACTGCGAAGCACTGCAGCTAGATGGCGCTTCTCTCTCGGCTCACTGGTCGATCGTTGTTCTTTTGAGTCCGGCAGTCGCTCGTCGAGTCGAATTACAGAGTTGAGTGAGCACTAATGTGGAACTATAGATCATCCGATCAGGTCAAGGAGTGAGCGAATGTTTACAAGGTGGAAGGAACGAAACAGACGATTACTGTTCAGTAGTGGTGATGGGAAGCTGTCATGCCGGATCGACTTGAAAGGGTTAACTGAAACAATTGAAAGCCACTGACATCTGCTCATGTTTGATCAGGAATCCAGGGACCAGAGCAAGCCGCCGAATTAACTTGGAGCACGACTTACGATGTGCATTAGCTGAGACCGCACTGAATATACCATAAATTGTTAGAACTAAGCACTATCAGCCGTCTCATTAACTTACATTGCCAGTTGATTTGATGAAATATTACTCAAAGATAGGTGTTTTCTTTATGTAAATAATAAAAATAACTAAAAATATTACATTTTTGTACTTAAATGGACGAAAATGTGGTAGTCAATAGGTAATTGGTATTTTAAGCTAAAAATTTTGGGGGTAATTTTTATAGTGAACCCGCTTTGTGTGTAACACCCACAAAATACGTTGTGAACCACTGATTTACACTGCTAAACAGAATAACGGTTATTTTTACGGAAGCCAAATGTAACTGAAATCTGCGATTATTTAGACAGCTTGCCGGTAAAACTTGTGATCGGAATTCTTAGCACAAACAGCCTACTCGTTAACGATCGGTCGAATAGTTCACTCTCGTGAATTTCCATTTCACGCCCGCAATGCACATTTCTTCCTTGTCTACTTTTTTCGATTTCAGTACCGCCTGGTTGTGTCTAAACCTAATTACTTTCAAACTTGGCGGTGGTGCTTTTGCTGAACTTGCTTCACCACCCTCCACTGATGCTGCTTGTGACGACGGTTGCGCATGGATTGCAAGCGATGGTTTCTGCTCCACTTCAGCCCGTCGACCAGCTATTCCTCTCACTAACACAATCGATCACGGGAACTGCGGTGATTTTGCACAATCCGCAACTGGAACCGTTTTCTCGGTATCACAAGTTTCGCATTCACTTACCTCAACGCTTCCGAATGGCATGGTGTACGAAACGGCTACGGCCGTCTATTCCTCGGCACCAACTGTCGCCGGTGAGTCTTATTCACAAAAATCGCACATTTTCCTTATTTTACTCTCTCTCAACATCATTATCATCATTATACACGTTAGCTGCAGGTGGAAAACACCTCAGCTATTGTGCCGCAATACAAAACACAAGCAAAGGTAAACAAACAGTGGCACGCCGGCTGAGTCCCCAGTAACGGATGGACATCGTTCCGAAGAGCTAACAGCTGCCTATCATGCCGTAAAAAGTGAGTTATATTATGCCTAACGAGTGAGATGGTGGTTGGAGGGGGATGCTAAGCAGGAGGGAGCTGGACAAAGGAACTCAACACAAACGCCATTGGGGCCGGCTCCAAGCCATATCAGCAAGTGTGTCCAACCAAACATGTTCACCGGCCTTAGGACTCCAGCCAGGCACTCGGGACGCATCAACCGAGGCCAACTTCGAAGTGAGGGTTTTCATCTCTCTCGACCAAGTCATCGTTTGGCCTCCCCCTCCTCTTCCAACCGCACCCCAGGCACGCAAATAATGCACGTCGCGGGAGTCGGTGTGTTGGCATGCGCAACACGTGGCCCAGCCATCGGAGCCTGGTGCGTGATATAATGGTGCTGAGCGGTTCACTCGCTCTTCCTGCACCAGATACGCGACGCCGAACACACTCATTGCTCATGCGGTGCCCCCATCAGACATGAGCTAAGCTGCGAAAGCAGCGATGACCGAATATGACGAGCATCTTGATGTCTGTCGACCTTATGGGCCAGGTTTCACAACCATATAGGAGAGTTGAACGGACGGCTGCGTTATAATCTCTGCCCTTCACGGCGAGACTAATGTCGCGTCTGCGCCACAGGTGGCGGAGATTGGCAAAAGCACCTCGAGTTTTTGCTATACGGTTCGTGATCACATCTTCGATCCCACGAGAGCTAATATAGCTGCCCAGGTACTTGAATTCCTGAACGACTTCTAGCAGATCACCACAAAGCGTTAGCGCAGGGTTGGGTCCCTGTCAATTATGGAAAAATACTTTGCATTTCGATGAAGCAAAGCATAGCCCAAAACGACTGACAGCGAGTACTAATCGGTTCAATGCTGCTTGACATGTTTGGGAGCTGTCACAGATTAGGGCAATATCGTCCGCATACTCTAAGTCAAGAAGTCACTCACCAGGAAGTAGCTCCACACCTTCTAGGTCGTGTCCAGCGAACGCTGTTTCCATGACGTCATCAATAGCGAAGTTAAAGAGGAAAGGTGACAGCGGGCAACCTTGTCTCACATCGCTGATGATTCACTGAAGGGTGACGACAGTTTGCCACTTGTCTAGTTGCACATTCTGATTTGTCATTTAACCATTTGGTTGCTTGCTTGATTGGCCTGTGGTATATAATTATCCATTTATTTGCTTGGTCGAGATTGCTTGAAGGCTCTTTGTTTGTTCCCTATTTCTCCGTCCCCTCGACCCCAATTACCTCGTGCAATCGCAAACGCAAGTGTGCACGGATACGGTAGCGTTTATTGTGTTGTAAGTAGGGAGAGTATATAAGTATATGAATTCGCCCATGAATTACAGCAAAAAGCAGCGATATGTTTAGCTTTATTCTACGCAACCATATTGGGTCCAACATCAGCGATTTGCAGCGTTCAGGGTATATTAACTTCTGAGTAGGATCCAGGATCTGTCTTGTAAAAGCACGCTGAACGTGCTCTAGTGCCGCTGTGTCACTCTGCCTTGCGTTGCGTTGCTGAATAGCATACAGTAGTACTGTAACATTGGATTCGTACAAATGCTGTGAATTATAAGTTCAGCCCTCGTTAAGATGAAGAATAAGCAACATAGCATTCATTTTCTCTTCTTTAGCGACGTCGTATCGTACATGCTCGGTGAACTTATGGCCGTTGGATAATGAAATCCTAACTTTTCACAAACAAATAAGAGGTTTACCACGGAATTTTAGTGTTTGGGCATTTCTATCACATTTGTATGTAATATTACTCTTTTTGACGGAGAAATTCATTTTTGGAAGTGCAACACCATCCTTCAAGTGCATTCAAGTCAGTTTGTATGTTTCGAATCACAGACTCCTGGTTCCTAAGATCAAATGTGTATACAACTTTCATATCATCCGCAAACATGTATGGCCTATCATAGACAATAATGTCATTTATGTAGATCAGAAAGAGAACTGGTCCAAGAACGCTGCTTTATATGATGCCACTTGTCATCATGGTGCAACAGGATGTGTGATTACCTAAATTTACAGCTTGGGTTCTGTCGGTAAGATATGAGGAGAACCAAGAAAGTGGAGGGTCAGCAATACCACACTCTGCTATAGTGGTCAAAAGCCTACCTGGTCAGAGGTATTTTGCATGTCAAGGAATATGACAATATATGCTTTACCCCCATCGACTTACCTTGTGATGTGGTTTAGGAAGTGTCTAGTTGGCAAGACTGACAAGAACGCTGTTTAATAAAACCATGTTGTGATTGACTGATTAGTTTCTTTGATGTTAGCAACTGGGAAGTCATAGCCTTTATAATCCTCTCCATAGCTTTGTGAACTATGGCTACTCGGGCGGTAATTTGCAATCTCCTATTTTCAGTCTTTTTTTATACATGGATACAACATCTGCGTGTTTCCAGTGAGGCAGAGTAGTGCTAGCTTACATTCACCTGGTAAATATGTTTTGCAAAAGAATATAGGGATATCCGGACCTCCATAGTTCATAAAGCTAGTGGAGTACAATCAGGATCACCTTTATAAGACATTAACCTAAACTTTCTAAATCCTTTCACTGACTAACCGTTTCTCCCCATTTTTGTTGTTGTTAACTATGTGGTATGGCACTGCCAATTGTACATTTATCAAATGTTGCATAATAATAATAACAATTATTATTATGACAGCTTCATGACGCTGAGCGATTTCCTTATTTCTGCTACAGAAAGGTTTACTGTCCACAATATGCTGTTTATAAGCTATTTTGACGGTATGGTGTGCTGCTCATTTTTATTGCACTTGAAGGACAAATAAAAGTACTCGTTGAAAAGATTACTACTAACCACGGGCTCATCCTTTGCTGTGGAGGCGCATAATGCAATGGGCGTGGTGCTGTCATTTATGCATCCTCTTCTGCGAAGCTTTATAACCTCCATCGTACCATCGCATGATGTCTTTCCTAGACGTCCAAATTAGCAGAAGATCATATGGGTCGATCCAATGCAGGATGCATAGGAAAGTCACATGCAATTGACAATACATCCATTTTGTCAGCTTTGTCTCACTAAGTCAGAAGCGGAACTTTATTAGATGTTTAATCTTAAGGGCAAGAAGGTTATGTAGTGAGGCCACGCTTCCGGACGAGCTGAATTTCTTAGCTGCCCATTTGGAGAGAAACGGCTATTCCGAAATGTTTGTTCGGAGAAATATGGAGTGCTGAGAATCGATGGATAAAACTGTTTCGGTTGAAAAGAAATTGGTTTATCTGTCGTTGCCGTTCAAAGGGGATGGAATAGCGCAGGCAACGTCTAGAAGGCTATCCGACGCCATAAACCGTACGTACTACGGCAAGCTTACGGCTAAGCTTTACTTCAACACCAATCGTAAGTCTTCAACTCAAGGACAGACTTCGTCGGTCGAGTACTTCTTTCTGTGTATACTCTTTTACTTGTTCATGTCGAGCAGGTTATATCGGAAGAACAACCGGGAGACTGTCTGATAGAGTTCGGGAACATTACCCGACTTGGCTATGTTCAAGTGGAACAAAAACAGTGACAAGCGCCGTGTTGGCACATCTAGTTGATTTTAACCACCAGATCCATAGGCACCAAACTTTTCAGCCAATTTACTGCGTATCTGGATGCTACACACGAGCGGAAAGATGTCGCCTATTAGCAACAGCCGAAGCGATCGCCATCCGTCTCCAGAACCCAGACCTATGTGCACAAAACAATTCGTTCAGATTCTCTCTCTTCCCTGGCCCCCTATTACAGTAACCCCTGCTGAGAAACATGCAAATGACATGTCATTAACCGTTTGTGAACCAAGCACTTGACCTTGTCATTTAGATGACCGAGACCTTTAAATTTTACCCATTGAATTTTACTGCCGCATGATGTTTTAACTCATTTTATTCGTATTAGTTGTGGTGTACCAGCCTGACGAAATCCACGAGCTCGTTCGCTGACTATTGTTCTGATGTCTACACCTGGGATATTTGCTCACTGGAAACGATCCACGAACACTACGCCTATTGTATTCCGGCCTAAACGAAAGCCGAACGACTCTTCGGCAAGCTTGTACTTGAGTGACCTGGTGCTTGACCAGGATCTGAGCAATCAAATTCCTAACACAGCTTAGCGAATTAAAACCACGATCGTTGTTGGCACATTGCATTGTACAGTAACAGCACAAATACAACTTTCAGTTCCGCTTACACTTGCTCTTCCATCCACATACATTTGACAAATTCTTAGAACTCACGAAGCATTTAGGGCTTGTCTTTCTTTACTACCTCCGGTGGTATTTCATCAGTACCAACAAACGTGCCTCTCGCGTCCAAATGCGGGTTTCTTTTGCTTTCCACCCGATTTTCTGGTATCTGCAAGTTCATCATTTCACATCATCTCCAGAAGACTGGCGCAGCATGTTCTACTCAGGTTCTAAAGATTTTCACGGTGCTACGCCTCAGGTACATTATATATCGGTAGCAATTAACTGTTTCCTCATCCGCGATACTTCTCCCTGACAGCAGCCTGCGACCGTACACCGGTTTCAGCATTTTGTATATTCGCTGTATTCGGTGTAACTTTGCATCCGCCTCTTTTCCTTTGTCCCGCATGCTTTTCTGGTACGACAGTGATCTTTGCTTAACAGTCTGTACATTCTGTGAAACTTACTCCTCTATCCGCCAAGAATCTGCCTTATCATCGCATGGCAACAATATCATCAGGACGTCGGTACGCAGTATCGGCGCCTGGCTGCCCTGCAACCACCACCAGTCGCAAGTGGGTTAAAGATACTGCGGGGGTCGCCCGGGCCCCACGCAGACCTGAACCTGCACCCTCGGATTACAGTGCAGACTTGTGCTCCTTAAGGCATCGCATGATAGGTCGATTTAACTGTGTTACAGAGAGAAAGCATCGATGTACCCCACCACTAGTAGTCGCACGGAGTCGTTAGTTATTTAACAGCGTGCAATGAATTTACTGTCATTCGTATTAGACTGAAAATTCATCCCTTGCAGTTCGAATTAACATAAAGCTTTATTTTGTCTCCTCTACACTTTGTGCTGCCGTTGTGAACAACCAATGTGTTTCATTCGTTCTCCTCACATTTGCTTCTCTCCTCGTTTTGACGGGCCAGGAAAACCGCCATCAAACAGTTCCAAGTTTTTGAAGGTTTTGACAAAATATGGATCCTCGTCTTCACGTTCACGTCGGTGGTTCGTTCGTCGGGACCCTCCTTGGAGAAAGCAGCTCTCTTCGCCTCCCCTCGGTCTAATGTCAAGTGTCCACTTGTGTGATTCAGCTCTTCATCAAGCGGCGGATCTTCCAGTCAAAATCCATTCAGGTGCTGGTGATCTGAGCGCGCCGACAACTCATGGGCCGCACCCTAATGCGACGTATGAATCGGCTACTTGGACCCATGGGAATCCGGTGCTGCTCAATTCTATCGGGTATCTCTGTCGATTCATGCAATTCTTCTGTCCCGTGGCCTCTATCTGAATCTGGTCAAAATGTCATTCCTCTTTTCTCCGTTTCGGACTATTGCTTGTTGCTCCACTGCACCATCTTCCTTTTATTCGTCCATCTGACATTTACTTTCTCCCCCATCTTCTCATCTACCTGCTATCTAAACCTCGTCTACCGCTTAATTGGTTTTCGCTTTATCTACTGCGGTCATTTATGCACTACTATTTCCCGTAGTTAATCGTAGTCAAATCGTCTGTTCACATTGTGCAGTGAAGTCCATCCTTCTATTGAACGGCGTTTGAGTTGACCATCCGTCATCGTCTTCATTTATACTACCTGGACTGTGATGTTCACAAGAAGTTCAGGTTGACAGGTCACAGATCAGACGTCGCCATTGCGTTGACCAGGGCCCAAGCAAGTGGCAAGCACGGGGTTGCATTGCCAGCACACGATTAGCGTGAGGTAGCATCTCCAACGCGCTGCCGCTTCCCTTGCACAAAGACGTACACCTAGCTCGACGGCAACCGAAGCCGAGGCAGCGACGGTGAACCACTACTTACGAGGTGAATGAGCAAATGATCATTACGACCGGCCCATAACCTTAAGGATCACAAGCCTGCTTTGTAATCTGAGCGCGCGAGTTCGAGCTTGCGTAGGGGCCGAGCGAGCCTTGCAGTATGCTTAGCCCACGCGCGACTTGGTGGTTGCGCAGCAGCGAAGCGTCGGTACTACCTACGGGCGTACTGGTGATGCCTTCTTTTCTCTTCTTCTTCTTCATTACGACTGGTTACATTCAATAAATAATAGACCATCTAATATAATGCGACAAATGCATCAAAATCAAAATGCTTTCAAAAGGTTCTGAAATTATGGAGTTTCAGTTGGTTCCAACCGTCGCTCGGTGAATACTGAACACTTTTTTGTGAGAGCAAGTAGCAATTTAAGTCTGTTCAACCCAATCGCAATGTAATCAAAAATGTTTTAAAATGTATCTGCAGTCCATGATAATCTAATTATTATTCAAGTTCTTATGTAGCAATTTATAGTGTCGAACTTACAGTTTCACTGGGCTCACAACTGTGGCATGTGATTGCTAGCGTCCAATCGTTCTCTAAATCGTATAGCTGAGAAATATACATCCAACAACGTTTTGTACTGGTGCACAGCTTTGGCTTCTACGACGTTCTGGTAGATTTTTCCAGTCTTTGCGGATTTTGAGCGGTTCTCCGAGCTGAGTGATTATTGTGCAGACGTTTCGTTGCCTGACTAGGCAACATCATCAGTGCGGTTTCAGGGGGCCTGGTTCGCAGTGCCTCATAAGCGACTTCAATGTCCAAGTGCTTATTGATCGAGTTCTGCTTTGAATGCCAGGCTTCAATGAACTCACGTGCTTGCCGGCTTTTAGCCCTTCCGAGGATACTGGTATTCTCTATGTCGAATTGATGGTTCTCAGCATCCATGTGCACTGACATCAGGGAGTTCTGATCGTGGCGATGTATGGCTAGGCTGTGTTCGTGTAGCCTTGTTCCAAGCGTTCTCCCAGTCTGTCCCACGTAGTACTTGTCGCAGTTCCGACAGCAGATCTTATAAATCACAACAGTTTCTTCTTCTTTGTTAAGTTTATCTTTCACCTTGAAGAGTTTACTGCGAATGGTTTCCGTTGGCTGGTGTGCAACTTTGACTCCAGAAGGCAATAAAAGCCTCGCTGCCATTTCAGAGATACCGTTGTTCTCTTTTCAGCTGGTACATTTGTCGAGGTGTGTTGAGTAACCTTTTGTGATGCGAGGCAGCGTAGAATGAAGCATTTTGGGTACGAGTTCCGCTTGAACAAGTTGAAGAGATGATCTTCCTCTGCCCGTCTCAGCTGCGGTGTGCTACCGTGGGTTTGTGCTCGTTTGAAAAGTGTTTGCACGCAGCTGCGTTTGTGGGCTGCCGGATGATTGCTGCCGTAGTTGAGGATCTGATCCGTATGCGTAGATTTTCGGTAGACTGTTGTTTCCAATCGTTCAGCACCAGTCCGTCGTATGAGAACATCTAAGAATGGTAACTGTTCGTTGTTCTCCTCCTCCCTGGTGAATTGGATGCCATCGAACACACTGTTGATTAGTTCGTGTGTTTCCTCCAATTTGGAACGTTTGAGGATGCCGAAGGTGTCGTCTACGTATCGTACCCAAAGTTTTGGTCTCGCGATCGGAAGTGCTATTTGTTCCAGCGCCTGCATCACTGCCTCGGCTATTAAACCAGAGATCGTTGATCCCATTGGTGTGCCTCTTATCTGTTCGTAAATTTGGCCATTGAAAGTGAAATGTGTTGTTAGGCAGAATTCCCATAACTCCATCATCTGTTTGGTTTCGGGTCCGCTGTTTGTATCAGACGAAGTGTGCTCCTCCAACAGGCGCGTCATTGTTTGTTTCGCCAAGCCAATGTCGATTGAAGTGAACAGGGCGATAACATAGAAAGAGACCATCATTTCGTCTCGTTCAATGGTTGCGGTTTTAAGTTTCTCAAGGAACTGTTCTGCCGAGTTGCTCGAGTGTTCCGATCGCGCGAATAAATGTTTTAGCCTTCTCCAGAGCTCCTTTGCAAGCCTGTAATTTGGTGCTCCAGGTAACGACACGATGGGGCGAAGCGGCAATCCGCTTTTGTGTACTTTAGGTAAGCCATAGAACCGCGGTAGTACCGAGTCTTGTGGTCGTATCCTCTTGTGTTCCAATTTTGTGATTTTCTTCATTTGTTCCAGCTTCTGCAGAGTGCGTCTGATGTTGCCTTCTAAGCGTTTTGTCGGGTCTTCATTTATCGGCTGGTATGTGTTGGTATCACTGAGTAGGTGTTGTGCCTTCATCATGTAATCAGATTTGTCCATTATAACAGTAAGGCGTCCTTTGTCGGCCGACAGTATAACTATGCTCTTGTCTTTCTTGAGGTTCTCCAGAGCTTTCCTTTTAGCGGCGTTGAATATGTTGGTTTCAGCTTTATGACTGAGAGCCGGGATGATTCTGTGTCTGATCATTTGTTGTGCTTCAGGCGCGATGTTGTACGATTTTAGGGTCGATTCAAGTGCAGCGAGAAAGTCGATGGGATTGGAGTCCTTAATATTGAGTTGCATACCTCGGACAATGACTGATTTTTCCACTTCCGTTAATCCTCTTTTGGATATATTTTCCATCCAACCATCGTCTTCCTTAGGTGGTTTCTTTTGCGAGATCGAATTCAGCTTCTCTTCAAGCCTCCGTTTGGTGTTTATATTTGTCTTGTGTGTTTTGACAGCTATCGCTTTTTCCAATTCTTCCGTCAATTGTGATCCTAGTCTGGATAAGCAAATTGCTTTCTGTTCGTTAATCACCATTTGGTATTTATGCTTTCGACTGTGTGCATCTGTAATCAATAGGCACAGCATTCTTCGCCCATGTTGTTCCGTTATCTTTCAAGCCAAAGGATGGTTGATCAGAGGACGGTAATGCAGACTCGGCGGCAAAACCTGTCTTCGCAAGCATTCGTGGAGGAAATAGAGCTGCTCGTCAGTGGATGATTGCCGACTGGCGAATGTCTCCCATCGGCGAGCAATAATCACTCAGCTCGGAGAGCCGCTCAAAATCCGCATCCACACCCCGATCTACGCATATTCTCATTTTCCAGTCTTTGTTTGAAGCACACCTGGTAGGGAACTCGCTTTACGTCCGGCACCACAAGTTTCTACTCTTGTCTGCGTGTGCTGCCTGTTGTTCACAAGTGAAGCAGCGGCCTCAACCTTAGGAAGTCACCTAGGTGTAATATGCGGTATGTCATGATGAGATCGTTTTAAATTCGACGATAGGATAGGGTGTAGGGTACTAGTTTCTCGCACCGGTCATCGTACGATACTTCTCTTAAACCTGGAATAAGCCTGGTAGCGACGTCTTGGACCCATTCAATCTTCTGTGCCTCATCTAGGGTGAGTAAGCAGTACGCAGGTGAACTGTACTCTAGTATTATTCTTATGATGGAGGAGAAGAGGCGAGCGGCGACCTCTTCAGACCACGTACAGGAGCTGCGTTTGATCGCCCAAAGCATGCATGCGCAGTCCGTTATCAACAGACTTCAAATCGCAGCGCAAGAGCACACCTAGGTCCTTCACGGAAGGCGTCGGATATAGCAGTTTGCCGTCAGTGGTGTAAGTTCGGTTGTCATCACCCTGTCCTGTGCACGGCGGTAACATGCAAGCCAGTGGATAGTGCGCGTCACTATATTATATCTAGTAACTTAGCCCCAACCATCCTTACCGTCTGCCGTAGCTCAGTGCTGTCAACCACTGACTGGCAGCAATCGAGTTACGGGCTAGAGCCACACAGCCGTCAGATGGAATACGCACCGCTGGCAATTCTCAAAAGGATGAAAAACCACTGTACAGTAGTGCCTCTCCGAACGTATTTTGGTTGTCTGATTGAGTGTAGGTGTGATGAATTCAAATCCCCCCACTACTGCTTTGTAAGTGGCAACAAGTTCGCAAAATCCGGTGTTTTCAAAATTTTCCGAAGTAAATTTTCGATTTGTTCCAAAATTATTCCAGGATATCCATTTCCTTTTATAGTTTCTAGTTTTCTGCCTGAGTTTCAATACGTATTCTATGTCTAGTGAGTCACTTAGCATGGGCGTTGTTGTATGTGAATTTTTATTTCACAATATTCAGCGATTCTGCTAACCATTGTGGGTTTTTAGATTTCGGACCGACAAACTTTATCCATGTTTCTGATTACTCGCTGTCTGTCAGTTGAGTATGGCTACAGACTGGCTTATATCAGTTTTGTCTGTTGCCGATCGCTTTTGTTCAGCACTAGACTTCTCTCATTCTTTGTTTTACTATATTGCTATCATAGTTATTGCTTGAACGATATACATGCCTTCTACATCACTTTTCTTGCGAATCGTTTCCCGTATTCAAAAAGCTTGTCGCAGCGCAATTTATTCTGCTTACCACCATTGATTTGGCCGCCATAACCATGCGTTAGCCTAGCGAATTGGCGTGTCCTCTTTTTTCTAGTTGTGGCACTATACATTATGTGACTTTCCCATTGCTTATTTGTTTAGCCGGCAGTCCTCAAATCCGGAATGTGACCTAGCCCCAAGTATCCCTGCTCTTGCCACTACTATTCTAACACCATACAAAGACTTTGGTTCATTACTCGCAAATCCCGTCTGTCTTCCGGTCGATTTGTGCCAACTCGGGTTCCGTACTAGTCCATCCCAGTCCACCTGCTGTTTATCGTCGAGGTCATGTGAAAAGCGAATGAGCTCGCTGTCCACTTTGCTCTCCTTTGTCCGCGTGTCCTCTTCTGCTCAATCCTTGTTAAAACACTGCAACTCATTATGGCCATCCGCTCCCCAAGATGGGTCCATGGTCGAAACTGCGCATTCAAAAATGGACAACGGGACACCCAGGTTTGTGTCGCCTGTTTCATCTCTCCGACCTGCTGAAATCAAGTCAGAACACCCATATGCAGGTAGTACCAAGTAAGCCCACAAAGTCACTTCATTTTTCACTTACGTTACGAGATTTTTACTAAACACACTGATTGATCCGGTTGGGTTACCATGGGGCTTGTCACTCACACCAATTCTTTTGGCCAATTTGTATGCGGAACCCCATAACACACTGATTCCTCATCTTGAAGTATAGTTCCAGCTGATCAAGAACTCATAATTCCAATGGGGTTTGATAACAACCAGTTACTCCCTTACTGTTGACAATGTTTTTCCTTTGAGACAAAAGCTTCCTTCACATTGAGTGAATTGGTACATAAATTGGCTGGCATGTATAATTCACTCGGAGGATAGTCTCGACAAATAAAGAATATGGTAAAGAGTAATCACAGTTACTGGTCGACCTGTCATCTGAAGCGTTACCACAGGAAGGACATGGTCCTAAATAGTCTGGCTTATGACGTCACCACTTGCAGTCTACCCCACACGTAATGGCGGCTACTTGATACCTACAAACCTTTCAAGTCATAAAATTCGGTCGAATTTCTTCTTAGTGAGATACACTTATTTGTGGAACAAACTACCCCTACAGATACGCATGTGTACAAGCCATGTCACTTTTCGAAATCTCCTTCAGACCTTCCTCACTATACCAAATGCTCTGAAGATATTTGACACACAACAAACACTAGAAACATTGACAGAAGTTGGTATAGAAAACATTTGATAATAGCTTACAGCTAGCTTACCCACTACATGTCATTACATACCATACCAAATCCTGTGTCTTTGCAGCCTAATAGTCCCTTCGTTTATTATCTACTCCTGACGATACAAACATCCGTAAATTTTACATATGAGTTGCGCGGGTCTAGGACTCAAGGAAAAGTAATCATGATCCGAAATGCTATCAGTAAACTTTTATTTACTGTTATGAAACGTATTGACTATACAAATGATCGCTCCCACTTATGGGGCCGTGTACCGTCCGTCGGTAAATATACAAATTTATTTATTTATTTATTTATTTAAGAATGGGGATGTGAGTGGCTTGATGTTCACTTGTTCTAACGAAGCTTGTATGTAAAAAACAAAACGTTGCCAATCAAAAATAACAAATGGTTCCTTGTTGGGTCTTATTAGAACACCAACTTCAATCGGGATTGTTTGTCGCAATCCAGACATGGTTGAATACTCTAAGACCCAATACTGAACTTGTAACCGCTGAGTCAAGCGTTGCTGTGGAGTTCTGGCCCAATGACCAGGACGAAAGCCGTAAACCTCTGTGTGTGTTGGGCTCCCCTCTCAGCTCCAGCTGTCTCTACCAAATCAGTACGAAACCGGTCGGTCATGGGGTGCAGTGTTGAGAGAAGCAGCTCGGAAACTCTCTACTACCAACCGATAGTTTTCAAACTCTTTTGCAAAACGCTGATCCCTGTTTCATTCGACCGTTTTACTTGACTTGTGTCGTACACTTTTGCTGCGCATTCTGGCATTTTCTCAGTTGGGAGGGATCCATCCTACCCAAATTGCACTTCGTGGTTGCCGCACTTGCGATCCGTCGGCCAAATCGGATCCATTTGCACCTTCCGGGTTGGAGTCCACGTGACTCACCTTGTGCTTGGCTCGAGACTTTACATGACATGGCTCGCAGTAGACACCAGTTTCGCATCTGCTGCCGTCTCCTAATCAGATTGCCTGTTTAATGTGTGTTTGGTGCTGAGTTATCTGCGGGGTGATGGCTGATTATGGCGCGTGGCAGTGAAAGCCGCAAGGAAGCTGTCTCGCCCATGCCACCTTATCTTTGCACGATAGCCAGCTGTTTGTGACGGAATGTTGTCTACACAAGGTGTAGGCGTCTTGATCCTGAATGTTTGCATAGGGCATTAAGGTTTTCAGGTTAGTCCCCCTTCTCTCCCTCTTCTTAGTCTTTATTTCATAGGTCCTCGTGGTTGTATGGCAGCGAAGCATCAGTTCAACTGGCTGATGTATTGCTGTTGATGATGATGACATCCCGTTTTGTTATCTGATGTCTTTGCTCAGTCTTTCAACTGGAAAATTCACTTTATGAGCCTTTGGCCACGTTGTGTGATCAACCTATTCCGATGCTTCTTTGATCTACATGATGATTGTAGCCGATTTCATACGTCTAGGTGCTTAGCAGTTTCACCGCCAACTGGTTGTCTGCGCCTTTCCCTACACGACGGACAGATCCACCACACTTAGACAACTGGAGTTTGTTTGATGGATCGATCAGGTGTCATCTGAGTTCTATGCACTCAAGGATGGGATTGGCACTGAGAAAGTGACCCCGTTCGATGTTATATTTGATATATTGACAGAGTTACTGGCCGATTTTCCTCATTAGACAAAGTCTGCGGTTGATATCTTGAGTCTAAGAGATATCAGCAGTATGCGGGTATGCAACCGACGCTTCGCTTCCGCGCAACCACTAACAGTCGCGCGCGGGCTGCGGATACTGGGAGAGCCGACCGGTCCCTTACGCATGTTGAAACCCATAAGTTCAGGATTATAAGGCAGCCTTGTGATCCTTTTGGCTACGGGCTACCTCGAATATAGGTATATTTATGTGAGATACATCGAGTGCTTACCGCCTTCATATTCCATCTACCATGCGCACCGTTTAGCTAACTCCTTCACGTTTCAGAATAGCAAGAAACTTGATCGTTTGAGTTTTCCTTTGCTAATGTTCGCTGTAGTACTGACTGCTGTTAACTGACATATCGTTTGTTACCTTAATCTTGTTCTCGCTAACATCCCCTTTCTGACACCCAGTTCATCACTGTGTTGAGTTGTGATACAGTGGTTTCTATAGTTTATCTTGTAGTCCAAGAGACGTCGGTTCGAACCTTTCGGAGATGCGCGGACATCCTTGTCGTTCTCCAGTTCACATGCAATCGGTGGCACTTGTGTGGCAGCGGAACATCGGTGCGAACTGTTAGCATACTACTGATACAAAGCAGGTGTTAACAGGCGCTTTAGCCTTTAATTTACACTGGTCTGCCTAAATGTTGTTTTCCGTTCTTGTGCAAATATCATATCCTCCCTCGGCTACTTTGCTATTAACGGCACCACTTTTATCACGCGTAGAACAGGACCCCTTCGTGAGGCTAGAAGTCGAATTTAATGTTTCACTTGATCCTCCCCTGCCCACATTTTTATGTTTTTCCTTCCTTCTTACGTCTATTTTCCTTAATGCTCTTTTCAGGCCCTCATCTGCTTTTAACTGTAGCTCCAAAGAGGTACAGAGACAGCTTGCGTCCCATAATAACGCATGTCCATCACTGGACGACACGTCCCCTCCCACTTCGTTTTTTGGGCATCCTGGGGCTCCTTTTCGCTGCATATCTCGCAGATGCCGTCGTGAGGATTGTGCTTCGGGTACGTCTATTTTGACGGTATTTAGCCCTCTTCATTTTGGTATTTTCAAAGCTCCTCTTGTTACCGAAAATCGCTCGTGGAACTTGAGCAACACTTTGCATCCGGGTCGATCCAAAAGTCAAAGCCGGAAGAGCTACTGTGCTATTTACAAATGGTTAGACAACGATTTAGTAATAAACCTCAGCCAATATCCAGACCAGAATGTTTACGATAACTCCTCTCTCAACTACAACGTGCTGTCAAGCCAAGCAGAACAACAGCAACCGTCAACCGATAAACAAACCGAAGCGAAGGGGTTCCAATGCCATTCAGAATTGTTCACAATGAAGTGATCAATCGTCAGTCGATCAGTCAATGAACAATGCACATGGGACATGGGTGCGTAGGATGATGAGTCTAGCCTACGCTCACTCAGACAATGAACATGTGTCCGTAACGAGGATAGGATGTAAGGGTTGAGGGACAGTCGGTGGAGCACGTGACGAAGGAACGTGTGAATGTCTGAATGAAAGTTCGGGGTGGGAAAACAAGGCAACTAGGGACAGGATGCTTCGGTGGAATCCGACAGACTGTGATTTGTCCGTTACACCTCTTTTTCCCTCATGGCTGAATCACGACACCTTGTGTCGAGTTGCCCACATTCACTCGCGTGATCCTCTAATCTTTGCTCCGGGTATGGTGCTTCAGGAGTAACTTGAATGACCCAAACGGGAAAATCGGTCGGCATCGGATGGACAGTGGATCGCCACTCCGAAGGCCTACCACAAAGGGCGCACACAATTACCACAAGTATGGGGGCGTAATGCAGGATGGAGTACTGTCTGGAGAGGAGAGCGGTGGTAAGACGGAGCAGCATACATATATTTAACCAATTTATAGGGGAAGTCTTATGTTTCTTACGATCATTCTTTGTTTCCGTATCTCACATTTGCATAAACGATGTATGTGATTACATTCGACATGGGCGCCCGTTTTTCTTTGCAGACTACGTCAAACTGGTGTGCTTATTTCCACTTGACCACCTTGGACTATGCCTAAAATATGTACGCAAAGACCTATCATTCCTAAACAAATAAACTGAAAGCAGCTCAACGAGGTTTTCGGCAGATAAATCTCCGATACTCAGCCACAGATGTAGTATATCAGAATGATCTATCACTCCACTGGCACCCGCATCCCAACTGCGTATTCCGTCTGAGACCTGGGTATTCGATATCCGAGCAGCTTCAACTTATCCAAATACACCCTACATCAAGTAACGGTAACGATGCACTCGGCCATTTTCACTATCCCAAAAACAACTTGAAGTATTCAAACTAATGTTGCGATCCACTTTAGAGTATTGCACCATCATACCTAGTCACCTACGCAAAACAGATAGAACTACTTTGGAGAAAGTCCAGCGCTTCTTTACCAAAATGCTCACGGGGCGCTCATCATGGCTTACTTATGAAGAACGATGTTCTTACTTCCAACTCGAACGACTGCTTTCGACGGCTGAAAAGCAATCTCACTTTTGTCAACAATATAATGTGCGCATGAGTATTTCCAATCAGTACCGCTATGATTTTACAAAATACTTCAACCTATCCCGCTCGTAGTGGGAAATGTCTTTTATACTTACACAGAACCAAGAAAAAAATTCGTTCAACTTTTTCCTTTGTGACGTACGCCCATCTGTGGAATAAACTACTGCAGGAATTAGGAAACAGCGAGAGCTTGATCACATTTAAATCTCATTTAAGCACTTTTCTTTCCATGCCAGCGTGATCACACTTCTCGACTTTTAGCAATTTAAGAGTGCACTCATGGAATCCGGCCCGAAAAATATATGGCAAGACTGTCTTTCCAATAATGTTACTTTTGCATACTCTATAAATCATTACATCGCTGTTCCATGTTGAATACAAGTCCATCAAGGAAATGTTGATGAAACTCATACAAACGATTATTCCACAAAGGGGACACATCCCGCCCGCCGGAAAATATGCGGTCTTTGCATATGCATATGCGTTTTAATTCAGGCAACTCATCGACAATCAGCGCACCGAAGTTCAATGAATCCATCTGGATGCCTTCACTGGCATAATAGCCTCAACTAGAAGACAGTTCTGGATAATTCGAGGGAACGGGAATAAACAGGATAGATAAAGTAAAAATATGTCAGTGTCATCAGTAAATTGACTGACGACGCTAACGTGTGGCTGTCTCGCAGAATTCGTTGTTGTCACGTCGTTCTCGCAACCAACACATCTGCATGAAACTGTCGATGTATTTAAGTGCGATTCGCAAGTTCATTTCAACTGTGTGGATCTTTTTAAATCTACTAAGATGCTCTTCGCGTTACCCCTCTTCTTCTACGAGCTTTATTATCACCTTGGTCTCTGACTTGAATGCATATTAATCCACAGGTGGTAATTCTAATCCCAGATTCTAGACATTACCTCCGGTTCTCATTTCATCTTCCACTATCTAAGTCAGCGCATGTTTTGCCACCGGAAAGACACGTACTTTGTCACGCTCTCATTCAATGCTCCGTTGAATTGTTTCTGTCCCCGTCTAACACGGATGCCCCAAGCTGAGATGGACGCGATTGAACCAAGTAACATGTGCTCTGAAGCGTTTCACCAAGCACACGTTCCTTGGCTGCCTCGTCCTGACGACGGATTGAGTCAAATCGCCCCAACTGCCGTCATCTCTATATTTACCATTAAGTTGTATGAGTCGGACACTGATGCTGATTCCCACTCAAATATTCCATTTCTAAGCGGGTACCGAGTCAACAATTCTTGACTGTAAAACTCATCAAACCGAAACGTTTACATAGGCGGGTGTTACGTGCTGAAAGTACCGTTGAAATAAACTTCCCAATCATTATCCAGCTCAATTCAACACTTTTAGCGTTTGATCCCTCCTATGTAAACGTTGGAATAGGATGAGAGTTTTATCGAGAAAAATATTCCGTGCTCCTCGCGTTTATTTTCATTTCCGTGAATGGTGCCGCCAATACTAAAAATTCGCTGCACTCTGCCTCCTTTGTTAATTGGAACTCTTTAATTTTTGGTTCGGGACACGCCATTATTATTTTCAAAGAAACTACTCTCGTATTATCACCCTTTTCGGAATAACACCCGACTTTCACCTACGACGGGCTGTCACTCTCCATTTGGTTGGTTTGAAGCCGGTGTTAATGCCTCTATCCACGCTATATACACTAGTATCTCCGTAAGTTAACCACTCGGAGGACTGGACCGAATGGGTAAACACAAAGTGGTGATCAACATGTGGAGGTCTTATACAAATACTTGACGTACATTATTTTCCTGTTATAAGTAGTATAGTGTGGAATGTTTCTTCACATACACGCTGCTTCTATTGTATTATGTGTGCCCTTAAACAACCCCAAACTCACCATCATATCTCTCCAATTACTTCTCCTTATGTTCTGCCGTCTTTGTTTGGCTGCTGCTTTCAAGAAAATGTAGCAGATTAATCTTCTCTTTAAGGTCTTTTCCTTGAGCTAATCGATTTCTCATTTGTGGGTGTCAAATCGACACGATCCGCTGATCACTGCTCACGTCCCGCGCGCTGTGCCGGTCACGTGAGGTAGCAACAATAGGTAAGGGAAAGTGGTGTAAGGCAACTGAAGGAGAAATAACAGTCAACATAATCTAGGCATTGCAAATGGAGAGTGATAAATCGGCATTAGAAGTTTTAGGTAGAAATTCGTCACATCTAGACTCACTCAGACAGCCGCCACACGCCCGGAAAAGCACTGTACGCGCGTTCCATCCTTTCGGGAATCATCAGCAGTGCGCATTCCATCGGACCCTTGGTAGGGCTCGAACCCGCAACTCGACTGTTGCCAGTCCGTGGTTGAGACCACTGAGCTACGGGGGACGGCAACAACCATTGTGAATAAGTTACTAGATGTGATATAGCGCCGCTCACTATCCACTGACTTACACGTTACTGCCGTGCAGAGGACAGGGTAGCCCCCTCTGCACAGCAGTAACGTGTAAGTCAGTGGATAGTGAGCGGCGCTATATCACATCTAGTAACTTATTCACAATAGTCGTTGTTGTTCCCCGTTGCTCAGTGGTCTCAACCACGGACTGGCAACAGTCGAGTTGCGGGTTCGAGCCCTACCAAGAGTGTGATGGAATGCGCACTGCTGATGATTCCCGAAAGGATGGAACGCGCGTACAGTGCTTTTCCGGGTGTGTGGCGGCTGTCTGAGTGAGTCTAGATGTGACGAAATTCTACTTATACCATTCAACTCCCCCCTACTACTCTTCTGTAATTAGAAGTTTTACTAGTGACTAAGATATGAAGCGGAAGGTTTGTAGCTTTGAACCAAGTGCATCCTATCGATGCTTGAACTTTCTTACCTGGGTTCCAGCGCAGCGTTTTCGTTGAGGGTGTTCCAAGCGACAATTACTCTACATGATAACCGGCAGTCAGCCCCACTCCGATCAGATTCAGACTTGTGCAGCTTCCTTGGTTGACCACGGAGGGTTGGCAATCTCGTTGCGTGGACAAAATGAGATAAATCCGGGCCAAGTTGACCCGCCAAGACGCGTCGACATCACAGCGAAAAGGCGCGTAATCTAAGCGGTCGCTTTGGATTAGATATCGGTCCTAGTGCTGACCCATGGGACCCGCTCCACTGCCATCTTGTCCCAGATTAAGCAAGGAGGACATGCTTGGACTCCGTACTCTAAGTGAGAACTGTATACAACTTAACAAACATTCCACCGGTAACGGTTCTAAATGCCCGGCGAATCATCCACAGCATCCGGAATCGCTTGCAAGTGGATTTCATCCAGTTTCCACTGGACTTGAAAATCGATGACATTGTGATCCCAAGTTAACCTGCTCGACCACACGCTGCACCTCGTTTCTGCCTAAAAAGTAACTCGTAAGTGGACCTCTATTACTGATGCGTACAGAGGAACACTTAGAGAGGTTAATGGGTAGTCACCGCGAAACGGACCAGTCCCAGAGCCTGTCAAGTGTAGACAACAAATAGCGCAAGATAAGCGCTCAAAGATCAATGTGGACCTAAATGTGTCTCCACAGTCTAAGAGGTTACTGAACCGGTGTTGAACAGGTTAGCTTAGAACCGGTTAATCGACGGCTAAACAGGCACTCAAACTCCTGATTAAGATCTGTGTTATGCGTGGGCACATGCCCCAAAGAATAGGCATAACGCGTTTTTGTGTGAGGAAAGATTTCACCCAAAACCCGTCAAGGTCACTTTGTGGACGCGGAACTATGGGGACACATTGTACGAGGCAAACACCAAAACGCGGGAATATTGATGGGCTGGACAAAAATGCACATGCAGGGCAAATGCTGTGTCGCCAAATATCAGCGGAGTCCAATGTGCAGTAATTGTGGGTCAGAAGAATTTCGCACATTGCAAAATCTAGCTACATGCACATTATTTGAACAAACGATTGCACACCAAACCTTCACATGGTCAGATTATAGAGGTTAACTTAATGATGACTGCTAGCTCAGGTGGGGATTAACACACAGAGGTCTGGGTCCATAGGGTTTACACAGTAAAGTTTAATCAAGGAAAGAAATACCGGTCAACTTACAGAGGTGGTCAAGATACGGGGTTGTTAACATACCGGATACAGAGGTGGTCAACTTCGGAGGTTATGCTGTATATGCGCATGATTTGCTTTCAGATAACATCGAACAAACGGCACATATACATGCACAGAGGGAGGTGCAGCCAGTCAGTTAGGTGAGTAAGTCTAACGCGGGGCAAGCAGATAGGAACCTAATCAAGAACTGTCCACGCGAGATGTTCATAAGTAAACGAACCGAACAAATAGGGCCGAGTTGGCGCATCCTCGCACGGACGAATTCTAAGGTGGCCTCAATACCAAAAGGACATGCATTGATGGGAGTAACAGCGAGCACAGCACCAGACAGTCAACAGGGACCACCTTCGGTTGAAATGAACTATAGCGGGAGTGTGATTCAAGTTTTTGTATGGTATAATTGACTTGTGTTTGCGTGTAGCGAACCTTTAATCAGTACTCGGTCGGTGCGCACCGAATCTGTCTGTTCGGGGCCCGGATCACATCTGATCGTGACGTATCACCTCTTGATGGTAGCTATCCCAGAATGACAGTCGTCCTTCTTCACCATATCGTGGTTCCTTATGCCTGGTTTTCTTCCAATGGTTGCCTGTTTCATTTGTTCCCCAGTACTGCCTACTGGACGCGATAGCACTGTGTCGGAAACTGCCAGCGCCACCACCACCATCACACATGAGTCTTGGAAGGCGCAACTTGTAGACGTGGTCACCTGCTTCCTATCGAGCATGTTCTCTGGGGCACACGAACGGGCGCTCAATCGACTCGTGTGTATCGCTACAACAGCGCAGAGTCAAGGCGACGTTGGCTGTTGCTCTGATTCGCCAGAGCCATTGTTCGATGCATGCGCGTACGCCCACGTGGCGCATCTGCTAGCCACCTACACATTCCCTCTGGAGAGTCGTGCCAAAATACAATCGGCTCTATCACGGCTGAGAATGGACGAAGTGAGCACCCATGTGGCGTAGTTTAATAATGTGCCGTCCGTTTGTAATCGAGCTTACGTGCCTCGTTCTCCCCATCTTTGCTGGATTCCCATGCAATTTCTTACGATGCTTTTTCGCTTCCTTTCTCCGATCTTAGCTTCTCTTGGACGCCAAAGATGCGGTAACGGAACTGGAAGAAGCGGTTCGTGCACTTTGCCCATCTGCTTCGGTTGATCCACATCAGCCGATGCATTGAACCTCCCTCTTTAGGTGTGCCAGTCTCTTTCTTGCTGCAGCTCCCCACCTTGATCACACCGGTCTTTCCACTCCACTCGCGCCACCTGCCTCTCTTCCATGTTGCGCCGTTGCTCTTTCTATCCCGCTTGGTCTGTAACTAATTTAATATGCGCCAATCTTTTCTCTTGTATTGCCATCTAAACACGTCTTTCTCACTGTTTCCACCCCCACCATCTGCGCTGCTTCGACAACTATAGGTTTCTTTTTTGCTCGCCTGCTTGTTTCCTCTTTGTACAGCGTGTTTTCATCGACCTAACTTCGCTCGTATGTGTACAGCTTTCACCCCAACATATTTTCACTTGGAGCAAAAACAGAACCAGATAATAGAGATTATTTTCTTGATTTTTTCTTCTTCAAACGTGTGCCATTTAAGTGTTGGCATTATTCTTCACCCACGCAATAGCGAATTCTGTGCTGGTTATGGTTGACGATGATGACCATAGAAATATTGCATTAGCCTGTCACTGAATCCATCAATAAACAAATGTTATATTTTTTTCAACGAAGCGAGGGACTCTATAGAACTTGGTCCAGTCATTTGGAGTTTTAACGGCAGAAAAGTCGTATTCCATGTGTTTCGAGACGTCAACAGACATTTCCTTCCAACATGCGTCGAACATTGGTGATGCTTAACTGGAAGGAAACTGGCAACGGACTGCAGTTCAGAACGTATAGTTGGTAATATGAGACGCGACCCAACAAAGCCGATTCGCTCATAAGCTACAGCGGGACTTACAGGATTGCTGTACAGGATCAAGCGCAATTCCTTTTGCATTGATTCTTTCACCATGGATTCGGAATGGACGACAATCGGGAATCGTTCAGATTCTTTTGTGTAAAGTGTTGTATCCCTGTAAGCGTACTAAGCCTCAAACCAAAACACAACGGAGCATACCAACTGTGTATTTTCATGAATGGTTTGGTGATGGAAACACAAGCGAATTGATTGTCAGTATTCAACTGTAGCATGTATTCGCCCAATCCGTTGTAGGCAATGCACTTGCGAGCGCCACGCACGGATTCTCAAGACTGAGCGTATACCTCACTATCCTCCATTAATAAACGCGTCACCTGATTAACCGGAAGGTTTGAGTACAATTCTTTGACATCGTTCCGGGTCGTTGACACCGCATTAGATTTCAGTGACGTGTACAATTGTCTGACGTTCACTTTCCCGCCATCTGCAACCTGGTACCTTCCTTGTCCTAACATCCGAGCCATACTGACGGGACTAGCTGATATCGGTTGCCCTTTTCGTGCTTTCCCTACTCTTAGCCCGACGAACATCCCAGAGCCCAGTGGTAAGGCCAACTTTCTATAGGTGAACTGATACCGTCGGCGACACCCAAGCTGGTGGGGATCGTTGTTTCCGGGGGCCGATACCGTTGTGTTCGATTTCGTTCTCAATATCCTGTCAAACATGAGCTCTCCTGGCGTGCGATCGGTAGCTCTGTGATGCGACGTTCGTGTGCAGTCAGAGCCTGCATCTTCCCACTGCATACTGGACAAACGTGCCGCCTGTATACTTACCTTAAGCGAGCGATTTGTGTTCAATCATACCGTTGACCGCGGGGTTACGCAGATCAGTTCGTATATGTTTTATATCGCGAAGCTGTAAGAACTGACGGAATTTGTAAATTGTGGTCCATTATCTTTTGCAATTTCCTCAGGGAACCAAAATGTAGCGAACATATGTGTTAGCTCTCGTATAACTGTTGATGTGTTCATGTCACCACAAAAGTGAATCTCAAGTCATTTACTGTAATATCACATGACCACCAAACAATTCCTCTGATGGTGTGGTGCACTGGAACGGTTCCATAATCTCGATCGCCACTTTGAACCAGGCTTTCATTGGATAAACTATCGGCTGAACGGGTGCACTAATCGGTTTCGAGCTCTTATCTGCTTTCTGACACACATCACACAAATGAACGCACACTTGCGCCATTATTGACATATTCGGTCACCTAAAATGCTCCTGTAACCGACACTTCGTCTTTAGGATATCCTTCGTGTGCGCATTGGATGAGTTTTGATTTTAGTTCATGTGGAGCCACGTAGCTCGATCCGCGCATAAGCCAACCATCAATGACCGCAATTTCGTGCCGTAAAGCGTCAAACGCGCGTAGTTCCCCATTCAATTTTGTGTAATGAGGCCGGCCTTCAGAGAAGTAGCGGGAAACGGCCTGTTACTTCGGATCATCTTAGAGCTCTGCCTTAGTTACGGCGACAAGCTCTATTGACTATAAAGCGGAAGTCATTACTTTTTCCTCGTCGTCCTTTTGAGTATCCGGATTGTCCACTTGAAGGCGAGATAAACTGTCTGCGATCTGATTCTCGGAATTTGGGCAAAATATGATTTGAAAGTCATAATTCAGCAAACGGGCATACCGACGATTGATTCGAAGTGGCCTGTGGCCGTTGGTTACCCGACTAAGGAGAGCAGTTAGAGCAGCGTTATCTGTACACAGTGTAAACCGCCAGCCAAACAAGAATAAGTACCATTTTTACAGGCGACTGCCTCTTTCACCAGCGGAATATGAAGACAGTATGGAACAACTTCCTAGAAGCATACGCGAAAACCCTTTCTTTTCCTTCTGTATCTGAGACAGGACAGCTCCTAAGCCAATGTTTGTTGCATCAGGGGAGACAAATGTAGGACAAGTCTCATCAAAATGGCAAGCATTAGGGTGAAAATGAGACGTGTTTTAATTTCCTCGAAGGAAGACTGCGGTGCAGAGCCCGGTCAAAGGTGGCTTTTTCCTTGGGGACGAAATTGGGCAGATAACACAAGTTGTATGAACACATACCAAGAAAATGTTTAACTTCAGACGCGTTTTTTACGGATGGGTATTTCCGTGATAGCCCGAGTATTTGCAGCGCATGGTCGGATTCTACCAGACGACAAGATGTATCCGAGAAATTCTATTTCCATAACACCAAATTTGCACTTTCCGATATTAAGACGAAGATGTAATCTCTCCAAACGTTGTTGTACGGCGCGTAACCTAGAGTCGTGCACTTCTCTTGAGGGCCCAAATACGTAAATATCACACATGTCCACCACTTACTCAGGTAGGTCTGCCAGTGAGTGGGTCATTAACTTCTGCCAAGCTGCCGGAACCGAACTGAGACCCATTGGAAAGTCTTTGTACTGGTGCACATCGCTCAAGGTTAGAAAAGCAGTCAAAGGCCTCGACTCGGGAGTCAATGTCATGTGGAAAAAGGCTTTCTTTAGGTCTAGCTTAGAGGAAAAAGCGTGCACCAGTTACCTTGACCAGCAACTCATCAACTTTGGGAAGAGCAACTTTTTCCACGATGATTTGACTGTTCATCGCCTTCAAATCATTGCTTATGCCCACAGTGACCATAGGATGTGCTCACTCTGAGCAGTTAATTGGCTCAATCAAGTCATTGGCTACCATCTCCTGTATGGCTTTTTCTACCAATTCACGCTTAGCTGGAGAAATGGGACGAGGTTGCGATGTGCAAAACAGTTTGGTGTCCTGTGTAAGGCAAATGCGATGAGTGGCTGATGGAATCCGACCGATTATTTCGGTGAAGACGAATATTTGTAGCTAGTTTAAATGTACAAGCATGCTTAGGGAATACCGTTTTTTGATAATCAATCAATCAAAAGTAATGCAAACACACCATAAATGCTTGAATCAGTGTTCACGTCACTGTTGTGTGAGTCATTGTAATCGCGGATTATTTGAATGGTAAATATGTGTGAGAGCATTGGAAACGAGTGCATTACGAATAACAATGCGGTTAGGGGTAGTGTGTCTTCCGTCATTGCCGGTATAACTTGTGAGAGGAAAGGGGTGATGTATCAAACATGGATTGCAGTTGGCTTGGCGCTGAACTTATCGCCTCATGTAAAGAAATTGCAGAAAGTACAAATGCACTTTTTACACTGGCAGATGTTCGTTGTGTAGTTCCGTCTACCGTGCTCGAAATACTAACAGTCTTAGTCGAGACTGGTTGTCACTGTCTCCGCTTTCAACGGACTGCCGACATAGGCAACAAGAGAGGTACTCGCTGAATGCCAAACAGGATGCATGTTGTAGTGTCGAAGGTGTGCAAAGTGAAACAAGCTTGATCTCGGAACGACTTGACAGAGAAGAAATGCATGGCAAGCAGCGCTACAGAATATCCAAAAACAGAACCTCAGATAACCGACTTAATTAATATACCATTAAAAGGGGAACATCAACGTTCCATGATATTCAGACTACTAGGGATACCGAGATTAGTCTATCTAAGAATCTTGTACCATGCATCTTGTTTTCTGAATAAGCTTTTAATTGTCTCAAAATTATAAATTCTTTGCACATGGTTATGATTGAAGTTAGGATTATGCAATCACTGCTGACGTTGTATGCACATTCTCCGAAATTGTGGCAGAACCACCGTCCTGGATCTGTGTCCGTCAGTTTCCTGGAGTGGTGAAATCATTGTGCCTGATCAGAACTACTTCGGTTGGCCACCGCCTAGTACGCTATGATTCCTAACTTAGCCAGGATAGCATCGTAGGATAACTGTGGGTGACACCAGTTGTGGACGAAATCTGTTTCGCTGCACTCAGAGGACAATATAAGCAGGTAGCAACGGACAAGAATTACAAACGGAACGGTCCAAAGCTTGAAGGCTGCAACCGCCTAAACCAGGCATAACTGTCCTCCCCAAGTAGGCCAGCATTGTACACAACGTGTGCACCAACGCACGTGACCTGGTATGGGCGGGCTGTTGCTGTGCCGGAGACTTGAGAACCAGACACTCAATGTCATTGCGTAGCCGCAGTGAGTACGTGAAAGGCTTGTCTGGAATTCGGGACATATGCTCATCAGGTCTGAGCTGCTGCACGTGATCGGATCGTTAGCGGATTACGCCTGCAACATGTGACTGTCTGAGTGCTCG